TCAGAGACTTTTTAAAATAAAAATAATACGAAGGAAAAAATATCGTGAAAAGGTCAATCCACAAAAAGGCAAAAGATCGAATTTTTATTATTTTATTTAAAACAAAATCAGGAACGTTTTGGTAATCGAAATTAAGTAGTGTTCGTGATTTTTTTTCACCGAAGAAGACAAATAATTTTACATAAACATTGATGTTAGTATGTTACAACCTGATGTTTCAAAACAAAATTCAGGTCAGAATTTACACCTAATTGGATGTTTTTACCGTTGGATTCAATATGGTTTATTTCCATGTCTAACTTATCTCGCATCTATCTTTCTTTCTGACCAATCTTTTTTTTTATTGGAGCTTTTTCTCGTGAGTAAAACAATTCAACAAACAAATCTATGTAGGATAAGAAAGTAAACTGTGAACTTGGCCTCTGGCCTACATTACACAATGTTAACTGACAAGCCTACATTTAAAGAATTCTGAAGTGACAAGCATCTGTAATGTCTCTTATTATTCTACTTTAAGCAAAAAGAAAATATTTTTACTTCTTGTATTATGATAACAGGAAAACGAGTTGTGAATAATAACGAACCACACAATGCCCGCATTGTTCTATTTTACATAAAGGGCATTTTAAAGTGCGTCATGGCCTGTTTCTATAAACTTAACTTATTACTATTCCTCTGCTAAGAAGTGGGGAAAACAAAGCAACGTCCGCAGCTTTTTATACGTTTTGTAAATATTTCAATGCGTGACAATTTAACGTGAAGCATGTAAGAATCTATTCACTTATATTTGAAAAGAGATATATATTTGAGTATCGCACGTATTGTGTGTATTTTCAGAAGTGAATTCACTAATAACACATTTATCTTCTCCGTATGTTTTGTTTACGTTCCACTTCAGGAGTTTCTTTCTTTATAGTCATTGATAAGGTAGTAGAAGGAAATTGTAAACAGCTCCGTTTTTCAGTTTTCTGGGGACATTTTCTTGATAAAAGATATATGTACATGTGTGTGTGTGTGTGTGTGTGAGTACGGTGTTATATGATCGCAATCAACTTTCTCGTTGTTATGAAAACTTCATTTGGTTGTATGTACAGTGTTATATGATTCAACTTTCACGTTGATATGAAAACTTCACTTGATTGTGTGTACGGTGTTATATGATTCAACTTTCACGTTGATATGAAAACTTCACTTGGTTGTGTGTACGGTGTTATATGATTCAACTTTCACGTTGTTATGAAAACTTCACTTGGTTGTATGTACGGTGTTATATGATTCAACTTTCACGTTGATATGAAAACTTCACTTGATTGTGTGTACGGTGTTATATGATTCAACTTTCACGTTGATATGAAAACTTCACTTGGTTGTGTGTGTATGGTGTGAAATGATTCAATTTTCACGTTGATATGAAAACTTCACTTGGTGGTATGTACGATGTTATATGATTCAACTTTCACGTTGATATGAAAACTTCACTTGATTGTATGTACGGTGTTCTATGATTCAACTTTCACGTTGATATGAAAACTTCACTTAATTGTGTGTGTATGGTGTGAAATGATTCAATTTTCACATTGCTATGAAAACTTCACTTAGTTCTGTTTTTAGAATCTAGCAAAGCAATGCATCTATTTGGTGTTCTGAAGTTACATGAAAAAGTTAGGTTAAACATATCTAACTGACTTTCAAAGCCAACCTGTATAATAATTTTGCTTTCTAGGTTGAGTCAACCTACTGCCCTCGATAATACAGTAAATGCTAGGTTTCTTTCTATTTCCAAAAGTGACTTTTATTTTTTCTTTCTTCATCTACGTGTAATCTAAAACGACTTTCTCCTTGTTCCTTTGGGCCATCTGTGACAGAGTAACAAAGAGCCGCTTTGGCCTTTTCCCTTCTTCGGTATTGATAACTGTCGAAAACCCTCATGTTCTGAGTATATAGGCAAGTAACAAAAACTCTGACAGCCTTTTCGCACTATAAAAGTAGAGATATTAAAGAATACAAACTTTGACTATAATTAGCAACTGTTAACGAGTAGGAGTGGTCACAACGAGTAAATATTTGAATTATTTTCATTCTTCTATTTTCATCTTCATTGCACCAATTATACCAGTAGGTATATCACCCAATATGTCCACATTTCACTGGACTAGATTTTATGTAAGTTGATTAGAATGTTCTCATTTTGTATAAAAAATCTCAATTATATGCATAATAAAGATAGTTGTGTTATTTTACATATCTGTATTTAAAGTTAATTGGCTCACGCTCCTATTCAACGTCCAGTGAAGACATAGGGTGGTCAGGTTCGAACGCCGCCCTCCTATGCTACTTCTCGGAGTACTAACCCCGTATGCCAGGTTTGGTGACAATTGATCTAGCGCCTCGCCAGATATAAGCAAACACAGGGAAGCCATAGGGGCTCTTGGAAGTTGGCATGGGGGTGGGTGGGGGTGAGGTGGAGTTCAGATCCGAAAGCCGCCCACCTATGTCATTTTCGGGAGTTCTAAAAAAATATGCCAGCTTTGGTGACAATCGGTCCAGCGGTTTGCCAGTTATAAGCGGACACACAGACACAGACTTTTGTCAAGTAATGATTTAGATATAAACGAGATAATCATAGTATATCACGTTCAAGTGGATTTCCACACTCTTAGAAATAATATATATATATATGTGTGAAATTTATATTCACTGTGACAGATGAATATTTCTCATTACCATAATAATTTTATAATTCATGTTTTCTAATGAGAAGTGCTTTATTTATATTAATGTAAACTATAATTTTTTATAAATACATTTAAATTTTTTTCAGTACATTTACACGTGTTTTTTTGCAATTCCAAGGACATGTTCTTAAATCATGATACGTAATACATGCTTTCAAAGAAACACACATATGGTACTCGCTCTAAACAAACACATTTAACGTATAATTTTTACACTAAGTACACGAACGACTTCTGTTCCCAGAGTATAAGTTTTTCATACTTAGTACTTAGATTTATAGCTTCTTCAGGAACTCCTTATCCTACACACACACACACACACAGAAATTATGTTAGGAAAATACGTAGGTTCAAAAAGTCAATTTAAGGCCAAAATAAAAACAAAACCATATTTTTGTGGTAAATTGATTTTTTTAATCTATGTGTTTTCCTAACATCACAAATGAACCTCTACTTAGAGGCCATGGATCCAAGTCAGGTAAGTATACTATTTTATTTCGTAACACAGGTATAAATGTACGTTAACTTGTACACATATAGAGCAAATGCTTTAAAGAAACACACATAACATTTATTTGTTTGTTTTGAATTTTGTGCAAAGCTACACGAGGGCCATCTGCACTAGCTGTTTCTAAGTTAGCAGTGTAAGACTAGAGGGAAGGCAGCTAGTCATCACTACCCTAACCGAGTCAAGTGCCCTAACCACCTGGCCATGCCGGGCCCACACATAACACATATCCTGAAATATGTACTAATAACAAATGTACATGAATAAACAGATATAACACATACTCATTAATAAACGTTTATAAAAAATGTTCATAAATAAATAGATATAACATTTACTGTTTAATAAACATTAATAGTAAATGTACATAAATAAACAGATACAACGCGTACTCTTTAATAAACATTAATAGTAAATGTACATAAATAAACAGATACAACGCGTACTCTTTAATAAACATTAAAGTAAATGTACATAAATAAACAGATACAACACGTACTCTTTAATAAGCATTTATAGTAAATGTACATAAATAAACAGATACAACACGTGCTCTTTAATAAACATTTGTAACAAATGTACATAAATAAAAAGATACAACACGTACTCTTTAATAAACATTTATAGTAAATGTACATAAATAAACAGATACAACACGTACTCTTTAATAAACATTAAAGTAAATGTACATAAATAAACAGATACAACACGTACTCTTTAATAAACATTTATAGTAAATGTACATAAATAAACAGATACAACACGTGCTCTTTAATAAACATTTGTAACAAATGTACATAAATAAATAATTAAACATTCATAACACATGCCTAAATACATGTAACGCTAAAAAACAAATACTATGATAAAACAAATAAGTGTAAAATGTGAACTTAAATAAAACCGTAGATAACATATTATAAATAAAACAATATGACACGAATTATTAACTTAATATATGAACTTCAATAAACACATATAAAAGATATAAATACGTTTTTATGACCAGCTAGTCGTAATTAATAAGAACACCCTATGATGAAAATGTTAAGAATAAAGCTAACAAAGATGTATATATAGTGCAGGGCCTTGTAACAAAAGGAAGACATACGAGGAAGAAAACAGAAAGATAAGAATCGCACGCACAGCAGCGGAAATAAGAGCAGTACAAAAATAGAATAGACACAATATAATATATATGTGTGTGTGTTCTGAAATAAGAGTAAAGCACGAGATAGAAATGGTGTTTTCTTGTAGTTACAACTGACCATCTGAAATAAGAGTAAAGCACGAGATAGAAATGGTGTTTTCTTGTAGTTACAACTGACCAAGATGTTCCATCCTTTCGTTCAAACTTTCTTTATGTGATCCTATGAACTTAAAGAGATGTCTTTTTTCTTCTTGTTTTAGCTGAAAATTCATTAATTTCTTGAAGAAAGTTCCCCAAAAAACATGTTGATAACATCCTGAAACAAAGCACAAAAGGGAGATCCTCCGTAGGCTAAAGATGTAGAAACTGATTCCGCTGAATAACATCATTCTGTTAACAATTCACGAGTTCAATCAACTATAAAAGGAAAATGCGTCTTATTCTTATGTTGTCCTGAGCAATTAATTTACGCTGTATTCACGGTACCTCACGTTTAGAAGGCAAGGACGTTACCACGTGGAAGAAGGTAGTTGTTAACAAAGTGTCTTCGCCTCCTCACCACCAACAGACGTGCGTGTTGCTTGTGACCATGACCTTATGAGGGGATGTCCCAGATGCCCACAACGATCTTTATTGGCAGAGCAGTTACGTAAACAACTCACAAAGGTGGCTATAATGATTCCTCTCCCTGTCCCAAACGTATACCTGGGAAAGAAATATTGTGATATCTCGGTATGGGTAATCATCTTTCTTGGCGTTTCCTGTGGTTTCTCCACCCCATGACGTGGTTAACCGGTTTTAATGTCGACTGAAAGTATATAAACATGACATCACAATTTATCTTGTTATTCGATGGAAGCGTGGAAACAACAGTGAATCGTCTGCTCTCAGTGAAAGTTGATCGGAGGGTAAGTTCTCATGTGTTTCTTTTTTCTTACAATTGAAGTTCGTCGGTAGAAAGGCTTAAACCGATTCTAGCTTTTAAATTGAACTTATTCTAAAGGTATAGATTTCATCAGTACTTTAGTTTTAAATTTCTGTCTTTTTTTTTTCAAATATTTTTGATAATAATTAATAATAACCGATTTTGGACCAACCTGTTTTATAAGTTAGAAATACAGGACATTGTTCTGTCTTAAGATAAACATAAAGAGTTACAGGTAAGATATAAGAAATAAATATTACATTTTGTCAAAGCTTCCCACTTGGCTACGGTATCATTTTTGAAATTGAAAACAAAAACATTTTGATTATCTGTTTTAAGCTGCTGAAGAAAGATTGTAAGCAATTTAACAAGTTACTCAAAATATAAAAAATGGTTTTTTGGTCTGAAATTTAGACTGGGCAGCTGAAACCTTTTTGCAAAATAAATATCATGCATTCGTTTGTAAAAGAAAAAAAATATGTAGCATAAAATCTTAATCATTAAAATCCCCCCCAGTGGCACAGCGGTATGTCTGCGGACTTACAACGCTAGAATCCGGGTTTCGATACCCGTGGTATGAAGAGAACAGATAACCCATTGTGGAGCTTTGTGCTTAATTACAAACAAAGACTAAAAAAAATACGATTCTTCTCATATTTGTTGTTAAAGGCTTAATGGTATTTTTTTCCAGCACTTTGTAAATAAAACTATTTTTTAATCTTAAGTGACAAAAATGATAAAGCAATATTTTCTTCTACAGGTTAAGGTTAGGTTTAGGTTAAGGCTCACTTTTTCAAATAAAATTAATTCTCCGTAAGAAAATATTTTAATGACTTCGAAATGGGTGTCAACGACCTCTTAAATATATTATTATTACTGTCTTCGTAACACTTTAACACGTTCATTTCGCCTGAAGCCCTGATATTTAAATATATATCTAAGAATTTATGTTTCATTCTTGGTGTTTGTGTTCTTTTGCGCCATCTAGTGGTAGTACTGGGCTTACTTCTCAAAGTTGCAACGTTGCATAGGGTTGATTCTCGATGTTTTTGGGTTTGTACAAGATTTGTGAAAGATTAATCACTTGTTTAATAGAATTGCAATGTCTGTTAATGACGTCAAAAATTACTTTTTTTGCAAGAAATACTGATCAGTTATGATATAATTCAATTAAATGTTGATGAATCTACGATATGAGTCTTAAACAACTAGATTAGCCATTCGCTAAAAAAAAAGAAGAGTTGGCAGTAAAAAGATGGATTATAGAATTTACGGCAAATATTGTTTTAATTATATATAATTCAATCAGTTTTACACTCTAATTTAATGTAATATAAATACCTGTTTGTCTTTGATATCACATATTGTCTTAAAGATTACAAAGAAGTACTTTCTTGATTTAATTATTTAACAATGTACTCAAAAATAATTTTAGGAATTTTATTGTTTATTTCTCTATCGTATTATTTTTTTTACTCATAATGATCTTGTTAACCAGTTTTGTAAGAATAATCCGTATCAGATTAAGTTAGTTTTTTTTTTCGTTTTAATTTTTTTACGGCTTGCACATCGCTGTTTTTGTATGCAATTCTCTTATTGTCACGTTTTGCTTTGAAAACTGAAATACTGATATGGTTAAACTTCGCCATTCCTGTTGCTAACAAACAATGTTTCCTTGACAAATGTGCGCATTGAAGTTATTATCCGCATCCTCATCATTACCGTTGCTCCCTCATAACTTCTACATTAACATTTCTACATAGCACCATTTCCACTAACATTTCTACATAGTACCATTTCCACTAGAAATGTAAAAACATTTCTGATGTTGCAGTTCATACAACTTTGTACTTAATTCTTGTTTTCAATTTTGATTCCAGTATTTAGAATGATATATATCAAAACTTTCTAAATAGATAAATATCATTTTGCCAACTTTATTTATTTTGTAATGCTACTACGATGGCCCTTAAAGTGTAGGTGCTTTGCCAATCTATTCCATACTAGCTGGAGTACCCGTCCCCTTCGAACTGAAAAGTTGCTTCCCTTACATGTAATTGTGAAAAAACGCCCATAGAAACTGCAAAACAAAAAATGTGGAACCGTAAGTTTGTATGTATCTCCGCATGGACCCAACAAACCTTCGTGTCAAATTTGGTGAAAATTCATCAACATGGGGCGAATTAGTTGTAAAAAACGTAAAAACGCCCATAAAAACCGCAAAATGCAAGACTGAAAATTTTTGTCTTACCTATGGACCCAATGAACCTCCATACCAAATTTGGTGAATATCTACAGGAGGTGAAGTAGTGGTAAATAACGCAAAAATGCCCATAAAAAACGCAAAACGAAAAATGCAAAACTGAAAATTTGTATGCACCCTCGCATTGACCTAATGAACCTCTATACCAATTTTGGTCAAGATCCATCCATACCTTGTGAAATAGTTACATGGACATACAACAGACAGTACTATTATATTTATAGAGATACGGGTATAAAACAAGAGTTTAGTGTAGAATATTTCACAGGTTTAAAATTATACTTCTGACAATAATCACTAGATGATCAAATTGTCATTTTACTACAACACGTCTTATTTTCTTGAGTTTGTATGTTGCAGTTAAATCTAGTATACATAAATAGTTTACATAAAATATAGAAATAAGACGTTAAACTCAATCATTCTAAATTTTTTATTCAAAAAAAAAACGTTTCTTTTTGTCTTCCAGTTCGAATCGATTATAACAAAAACTTTTTTCGTTGTTGTTAAGCGCAAAGCTACACAATGGACTATTTGCGCTCTGTCCACCGCTGGTGTCGAAACCCGATTTTTAGCGTTACAAGACTTACCGCTTAGCCACCAGGGGCAACACTAAAACATTGCTAAAGTTAATCCTTTAAAGTTTGAGTCTGGAGGTAATCTTCAAGTAATCATTAAATAAATTATTAGCTAAACTGTTGTATTGTTTGTTTTGAATTTCGCGCAAAGCTACACGAGGGCTATCTGCGCTAGCCGTCCCTAATTTAGCAGTGTAAGACTAGAGGGAAGTCAGCTAGTCATCACCACCCACCGCCAACTCTTGGGCTACTCTTTTACCAACGAATAGTGAGATTGATCGTAGGTTTATAACGCCCCCACGAGTCGAGTGCCCTACCCACCTGGCCATGATGGGCCTAAATTGTTATAGGAAATGCACGTGGAAGAGACATAAACTGTTTTTTAAATCAATATCAAATTAACATTTTGATTAATTTTGCTCAATAGGTGTCACGGGGCATCCAGGGAAAGAAATTGAATTATCATAAAAGCGATTTTTTTTAAAATATTTCTATATTTCGCATGCAGTTTTCAACTGTGCACACTGAAAAATATCTTAATCAAACACAACAAAAGACAAACGAATACAACACTTAGGTTGTTTGAATAAAAGACCGAGTAGTAGATTTGTGGAGAAACCAAAAAGCTTAGCCCTAACAAGTATAAATATAATGTTCGAGTTCTGAGTAAGCAACTAAATTTGCTTCTAAGAATTTATCAGGCAGTGTTAGCTTTATACGCATTTAGTTCGCGTCGTTCGTTATTTCTCAATCTTTTGACAAGTAGTTGAGAGGAATAGAAAGATCACTATCAAAGTACTCGAATTTCTCTACAAATATCAGGGTTAGCTTTCAGTGTCTTGTTGTAGAGCTCTTTATTTTGGAGCTGGTGAACCTCTTTCGAATCCCTGCGGTTTCATAAAATATTCCCAGCACTTTTAGCTGTGGGGCCGTTATAAGAGTGGCATTCAATCTCTTAGCGTGGACGGTGGGTGGTAGGTGACTAGCTGCCTTCCCTCCTACCAGTAGTTTAAAATTAGGGACGGTGGCAGATAGTCTTAGTATCCTTGCATACATGCGAATGCAAGCAACTAAAGCAACTTTTTGTTTCAATATATATATATTTTCCATTAGGATATGAGACGTTATACATTTTTTTACTTCAAAGGTCTAGAGCGACATATAAATGAGTGTGTATTAATGTATTCTTAGAAATTAGACAACCTTTTCTGGACAGAAGAAGACAGTATTTCCTTCCAGATGCAATTGAATATATTAAATCAACCATCTTTACAGATAATCAAAGATTCAACTGTGTTTCAGACAAAACACTCGGAACAAAAATGCCAATATTACTTTTAACAATGATATATCTCATTTATTCAGCCTTGCTGAGCGAAGAAAGACAGACCTGAGTTTAAAAATTGAGGTACAGGCGTTATTCACATATGCACTATACATATTAAGCTATACCGGTACGATAAGTATCCGCTATCAAGGAAAACTTTCTGTCTGTCTGTGGGCGCATCTCCTTCTAAACAAATTGACCGATCCAGACCAACTTGACATGCTAACTTAGTAGCCGAAAAGCAAACCAAATTCATATGAAAAATAATAAACGATAAACAAAACGATAAACATAAAAAATGGAAATTGCTATCTCACAATACCTCTTCACTTCCCCTATCTTACAACAATTTTCTTGGAGAATGAACGCTGTTGAAAATCCTCGTAGAGATTTTGTTCATTTTTAGCACATTTGTGTGTGATTTTCTCGTTTTGAAAACGGTGGAGTGCAGCCTCCTTAAAATGACGTGAAAAACCTTAAAGGTAAGACACTTAAATTAAAGTGCATTAAGAGATATTTAAAAAGAAAGCCCATTATGGACCGAGAGTTCACTTTTACTTGTAGGCTTTCACAAGATCTGTCGGGCTTTCACCACGGGCGGAGCTGGATATCCAATATGACACTCAAAAAATTAGTGAAATTGCACATCTGCTTAATTAGCATTTTATAATTCATAAAAAAATAAAATATACACATTTTATAGCAATGTGCATTAGAATACATGCATTATATACACATATGACAATTAAACACGGCCCGCATGGCCAGGTGGTTAGGGCACTCGACTCGCAATCTGCGGGTCGCGGGTTCGAATCCCCGTCACACCAAA